GTTTTGGGGACGTCGGAGCTGCTGGTGAGTCCGACTCAGTTTAACGTCTCCAAATGTTTCTGCTTCTAAATCAAATCAAATCAAATAAAATTTTTGAAGATTTAATTTTTGGAAAATCTGTTTTTTTGGTTTCTGCAGTTCAGGGCGGCCATCTTGTTTTGATAAGTGTTTTTGCAGCTTCTGTTAATTTGGACTTTGAATTTAGATTATTTACTTATTTTTCTCTTTTTATTATGAGAAAACAGTCTTACTGTTACAAGAGTACCGTCAAAACGATACAAGAATAAAGTTTTATTCCCAGAATAAAGTTGTAATATTAGGAGATAAAGTTATCATTTTATGAGAACTAAAAATAAAAAATAACAAAATCAAATGAGGAATATTGATTGTCTTGTGAAGTTGTACTTTGGAATCAGTTTTAAAAAATGAGGAAATACTTAATTTTTAACAGCATCAAATTATTATCAGTAGGACTTTGGAACAATTGTGCAAAAATTTATTTAGAAGAAAGAATCACGTCAATAAGGAAACTCTATCCAAGTGTTTTTCTTACTAAAACAATTTTTTTTCTCATAATTTCAGATGGTTTTTCTGGTAAAATTGCGATTTTGCTCTTCAAATATTTTGACTTTATTCTTGCAAGTAGACAAAAAGTCCTGTAGCCTGGCCTGGACACCGTGTACCTCAATACTCACAAAATATTGCAGAACTAAACAAATTTACATGGAAATATAAACATTTCCACAGAAACATGAAGATTGAACCTAAATAACTGATTTACACAGTTTATCGATAAATAAAGTTGATTTCCTGGGTTAGTTGCACTTTGAATGATTTCTTTCTGCTATTAGAGAGACAGTAGTCAGACTTTGGTATGTTTGTTAAGCTAAAGCCAGCTGTCCAAATAACTGTGTGCCATAGAAAAGTCTGTGGCATGTTCAAGTTAAAGCTAGAAAAGAGAAGATGGTCCAGGTTGTTTTTGTCAAACAAAAGAGGGAAATTTGTCAGGAATTAAATATTTACAGCACTGTAGATACATAGGGTACATTTTGTTCTAAAAAAATAAGGAAACTGGAGAAAAGAAGAAGTTTCATGCCTCAAAATGCTCTGACAGCATCTGAAAATCCTGTTTTCAACAACAGATCAGCTGATTCAGAACAAAATGCTGCTTTTCCTGGACCAGACGGATCTGGTCGCAGCTGATCGTCTCTTTGTGTTTTAGCTGGCAAAGAATGTGGGAAATGCCAACTTCAATGACATCATGGAGGCAGACATGGAGGACGTAACCAAGCCGGACCCAAAAAGTGACATGTAGGTTCTGCTGGTGCAGCTCTGTTGAGGAGCTGCAGGATCTTAACGCCGTCTGCGGGTTTTTCCAGGCAAATGAGGAAAGACTACATCACGGCGAAGTACACGGAGAAACGCTTCGCCCTGAAGTTCAGCGCCGATGCCGAGTCCAGGCTGAAGGTGATGTACGAGGCCGTCCGGAAACGGGACATCCTGTCGCTCATCCAGGTCTACGCCGAGGGAGTGGACCTGATGGAGGCGTTCCCGCAGCCCGACGAACACGTAGGCACACACACTCATTAACACACTCGTTAACACACTCATTAATGCACACTCATTAATGCACACTCGTTAACACACTCATTAATGCACACTCATTAATGCACACTCATTAACACACTCATTAACACACTCATTAACACACTCATTAATGCACACTCATTAACACACTCATTAATGCACACTCATTAATGCACACTCATTAATGCACACTCATTAACACACTCATTAATGCACACTCATTAATGCACACTCATTAATGCACACTCATTAATGCACACTCATTAATG